GATAAATTAATGTATGTATAACTTGCCATATATGAGTTATCGTGTTGAAATTTGGGGGAATACATATGAATGATCCTTATGTCCAATGCATAAAAAAGTAATTAGACCGATGGAAAATGTGGGGTATTTAGAGCATACAAATCCTTTATTTTTTAAATTGAAGATTCTTAAGTTAATTTTTTTTTAACCATAAAACAGCACAAATTGTGTTTAATGCTAGGAATAAATTACTCCCAATATGCAAACTTAATGCAATTTATTTATTCATTTATTTTTTTAAGAAAGACAAGGGGAATATAATCTGAGAGAAGAACAAAAAAGCTAGTTGAAAGCAAGGACAACTTTAAAAAAAATGTGTATGTCTGTATGTGGTGTGAAACTAGGAAACAGTCTAGAACTGATTCTCAAACAATGTCAGGATATTAATCAATTTAAAATCTTGTATACAGATATTTACATTTAGTCATTTAGCAGATGCTTTTATCCAAAGCGACTTACAAATGAGGACAAGGAAGCAATTTACACAACTATAAGAGCAACAATGAATAAGTGCTGTAGGCAAGTTTGAGGTAGGTAAAGAAGGTGTCAGAAGCAAAACATTAGTAATTTATTTATTTATTTTTGTGAGTATGGTAGTTAGTGGAGGAGTCAGAGAGAGAATTGCAGATTAGGAAGTGAAGTATAGACTAAATAGTTGAGTTTTTAGTCGTTTCTTGAAGACAGCGAGTGACTCTGCCGTACTGATGCAGTTAGGGAGTTCATTAAACCAACTGGGCAGATTGAATGCGAGAGTTCGGGAAAGTGATTTCTTCTACACCATTATACTCTGGCAGACACCAAGCTTTTGAATAGCATATAGTGTATAATGTTACAAGAGCTATTTTTATGCTCATAAAATACTCACCTGTTAAACTTTGTATAATAATAATAATAATAATAATAATAATAATAATAATAAGAAGAAGAAGAAGAAGTAAAATTTCTATTAATACCTAATAATAATAATAATAATAAATAATAATAAGAAAAATAATAATAAGAAAAATAATTAATAATAATAAGAAGAAATGACAATATTAATACTTAGTAATAATAACAATAACAATGATAATAATAATAATAATAAATAATAATAATAATGATAATAATAAAATTATTACTACTAATAATAATAATAAATAATAATAATCAGAAAAATAATTAATAATAATAATAATAATAAGAAGAAGAAGAAATAACAATATTAATACTTAGTAATAATAATAGTAACAATGATAATAATAACAAATAATAAGAAGAAAAAGAAGAAAATTACTACTACTACTACTACTACTACTAATAATAATAATAAAATTAATAATAATTATAATTTTATTGATACTACTACTACTACTAATAATAATAATAATGATGATAATAATAATAATAATGATAATAATAATAATAATAATAATAATAATAATAATAATAATAATAATAATAATAATAATCACATGAGAATCGCGAGTTATAATGTGAATGACCACAACAAAACTTCAGCATGAGCACAAAAACTTCACACTACACTGTTTTTGAATTTTGGCATGAAATATTTACGCGTGTAAACGTGTTTTTTATGATTTATTATATAGATTTTATCATGATATTAATATTATAATTTCTATTTTTCTCAGGTCACGCGCATATGCCTTTGTTCTGTCATATAAGCAGCGCGCGCCAACATCTATTATTAGTCTATTATCAACACGCAGAAACAAAACAAACAGGCTGCCGTCTAATATTCACGCAGATCGCCTCATATTATGAACATTAATCATCATTTTATCAGGTTTTGTTTTCTGTTCCAGCACTAGAGAAGCGGTGGTAAACACTGGAAGAGCGCGGGATTGTACTTTCTTCAATATCCACGAGCAGATATCGGTGAGTCTGCGTGGTTAAACTGTAATCAGGAGTGTTTTGCACAGTCATTTTTCATGTTTCGGAGTTTTCTTGTGTCAGTCAGTGTCAACAGTTTCTGCGGGGTCACCTCTGATATAATGACCGTGATAAAGAGCAGCTCATGTAACAATGGCGCTGAATGAAACCTCCTTTTCTTTTCTGAAATAACTAGCGAAGGAAATTACTTATTAACTTGGGAATGGATAAAAATATGTCGGGCCGTGTGTTAAAAAATGTATTCAGTACTGTAGCACATACTGAAAAAGTGTACGTGTTAAAGCACTAGAGCTAAACATTGATTTTAAAATCAAGGCATTTTGTAATTATATATTTATGTATAAAGTTTCAGTTCTTCTGGATAGGTTTGAGTTGATAATACTCAATATGTGTGATTATATTTGATAATATTTCTTCCAAATATCGAATAAAAACGGAAATTAGAGGCTTTATTTTGACTTATTGGTATTTTGACTTATTTTTAGCTGTCAGACATGTTGTTGTTTTTTTTATTCATACCAACAGAAGACTATATACAATATTTGACGCAGTTAAATCACAACATATAAAAGTTTTTGTTCTGACTAATTGTCGTTTGTTTAAATCAATTTAAAATGATGATATTTTCTTTTAAAAAATATTATCAAATTGTTTCTAGAGTAAAATAATTATGAACAATTTACTCAATCGCGTACATAACGAAGACAGTTAGTTCTAAAAGTAATAAATTACAATATATCATAATCTTAAAAAGAAAATAATACAAAAATAACAACTTAGTTTGCCATCCTTCCTTAAAAAGTCAACAAGTAACACATTTGATTATATATATATATATATATATATATATATATATATATATATATATATATATATATATATATATATATATATATATATATATAATTTAATTTTTTTAAAGTGACTTAATCATTTATTCATTTTCTTTTCAGCTTAGTCCCTTTATTAATCAGGGGTCGCCACAGTTGAATGAACTGCCAACTTATCCAGCATATGTTTTATACAGCGGATGCCCTTCCAACTGCAACCCAGTACTGGAAAACACCCATACACTATCGCAGTCAGAATTATTAGCCCCCTGTTCATTTTTTCCTCTGATTTCTGTTTAATGAAAATAAGATTGTTTCAACACATTTCTAATCGTAATAGTTTTAATAACTTATCTCTAATAACTGATTTATTTTATCTTTGTCATGATGACAGTAAATAATATTAGACTAAGTATTCTTGAAGACACTTATATACAGCTTAAAGTGACCTTTAAAGGCTTAACTAGGTTAATTGGGGTAGCTAGGCAGGTTAAAGTAATTAGGCAAGTTATTGTACAGCGATGGTTTGCTCTGTAGACTATCGAAAAAATAAAATACAGCTAAAGGGGCTAATAATTTTGTCTTAAAATGGTGTTTAAAAAATTAAAAACTGCTTTTATTCTAGCTTAAATAAAATAAATAAGATTTTCTCCAGAGGAAAAAATATTATCAGACATACTGTGAACATTTCCTTGCTCTGTTAAACATTGTTCTGGAAATATTTAAAAGACAAAAAATCAAAATGGGGTGAATAATTCTGACTTTGACTGGACATACAGCCAAATAATAACAGCAGAGTTTCACATTTATTTTTCTTAAAAAATAAATAACACATTTATTTTATAATGACTTAATATTGTAATATTTTTTGTTTAAAAAGTGTCATTACCCAAACTATATCGATATACACATATTACAGTACACTAAATGAATGCACATCTCTCTTTTAAATGTATATTTTCTATAGGATGCCTTACAATGTTATATTTGTGAATATAAATTAGATACTGAAACTCAAGATCTGGAGCTAATAACTTACAATAACACTTACTTATAAAGTAAATAAGAAACAGATTTACTTGATTTTTTTAAGTGCATTAATACTTAATATGAATACTTAATATGCACCTGTCACAAATCTATCTTAAATTATTTTATATGAGATGCTATTATTACACTTGTGCATACATTAGTCAGTACTGATATGGAGCCAATCTAACAAAATTACTTACGATAATGGTCCAAAAATAATCACACCCAAATGTATAGAGTGCTCAGCGTAATTGAGTTCAGCCCATTTTGAAAATAAATATTTTCATCCATTTCTCAGTGAATATAGTCAGTGTATTTTGGTGCATTTAAACAGATTCATTCATTCATTTTCTTTCTTTTTGCTCAGTCTCTTTATTAATCTGGGGTCGCCACATCGGAATGAACCGCCAACTTATCCACCATATGTTTTATGCAGCGGATGCCCTTTCAGCTGGGAAACACCCATACACTCCTATTCACAAACATACACTTTTAGGAACAATTTAACTTACCCAATTCCCCTATAGCGCATATCTTTGGACCCTTGGGGTAAGCACCCAAAGGAACCCCACGCCAACAGGGGGAAAGCATGCAAACTCCACATAGAAACGCCAACCAACCCAGCCGGGGCTCGAACCAGCAACCTTCTTGCTGTGAGGCGACCGTGCTAACCACTGCGCCACCCTGCCACCCTATTATTATTATTATTCTAGACTAGAGCAAAATAAATATGAACAATCATTTTCCTTAATCCCGAACATAATTGAGACCGAAAAATATTTTGGTACATTGCAACAAAACAGATTTATTAAAGGTATATATTTATTAAAATAACATTTTTGTCACAGAACATATTTAGAAAAAGAAATATAATACATTTAAATTAATGCAAAATATTGCAAAAAAAAGACACTTCAAAATTTTTACATTTTTATTTATTTATTTTTGTTTCTTTCGATTTTTCCTATTTTTGTATTTAATTTAATATTTGTCCTTAACAAATAAAATATCCATCCATCCATCCATCCATCCGCCTGCCTGTCCTTCTATCTACCTGCCTGCCTACCTACCCATCCATCCATCCATCCATCCATCCATGCCAACAGTGGCTTAAAATAATGACAACCCACTATAGTGTTAAATTTACCATTTTTATTTACTTGTTTTAAAACTGAATGATTTTACCCTTTAAACAGGTTTCCAATGTCTCAGTTTAACACCAGAGTGACGTTAGAGAAAAAGGAGTCAGACAAGAAAACACTTCCCCAGCCTAGATCTTCTTTAAAAGCCAGACGTGAAGAAAGAAAAGAGAAAGAAGCTGTAAATCTCATCACACCCTCAGCTCTGAAGAGCAACAGAGAACAAAACTCAACCACGCCCACTTTTAGAAGACCTCCCCCTGTTGAGTCCCTTATTGACCCAGAGCTCCGCCCATTTTTGCTGACCACCCACTGCGATGCCCTCTTCATGTCACTGCGAGGACTCAAGTCGGAGGGGCTTCTGTTGGACTGCAGTTTAAATCTCCCAGGCCATGCCTACAAGGCTCACAGATTAGTGCTGGCTGTTGTCAGTCAGACTGCGGAGGCATGGCCGTTTTCTGGAGAGGCGGGGCTTCAGGAGCTGGCTATTGATGGAGGAACGGTGACTCCTGCTGGACTAGAGGCTGTACTGGACTTCTGCTACACTGGAGAAATGAACAGAGGAGAAACTGAGGAACTGCTGGACGCCTGCAGGAGTTTGAGGGCTGATAGACTGCTGAGACTGTGTGGAGGAGATACAGTGTCATTCAGTGCGAGAGAAGAGAGGGAGAGGAGTTTGCAGCTCATCCGAGCACTGTGGGAGAGGAATGTTGGCTGTGATGTCATCATACAGACTGACAGTGGTGACCGTTTGCCTGGTAACTATAGGATGTCCTTTAACTTTAATGTTTTAAGAAGTCAAGTTAATTATTTTCAATTAATTTTAATTATTTTTTTTAATTAATTTTTAATTATTAGTTAATTAATTTAAGTTAATAATTTTTGCAAATGTGAATATATATATATACGCGTCACACGTTTACACACATTTCCTTGGTATTTTTTTAGTTTTGCTTTTAAACTATAACTTTGGTCAAATGTTTTGGGTATCCTTCCACAAGCTTCTCACAATAGTTTGAAGGAATTTGGCCCATTCCTCCTGACAGAATTGGTGTAACTGAGTCTTGCTCGCACAAGCTTTTTCAACTCTGCCCACAAATTTTCTATAGAATTGAGATCAGGGCTTTGTGATGGCCACTCCAAAACATTCACTCTATTGTCCTTAAAGCACATTTGAACTAGTTTGGCAGTGTGCTTAGGGTCATGGTCTGTTTGGAAGACCCATTTGAGGCCAGGCTTAAATTTCCTGGTTGATGTCTTGAGATGTTGCTTCAGTATTTCTCCATAATGTTCCTTCTTCATCTATGCTGTGAAGCGGACCAGTCCCTCCTGCAGCAAAAATGCCCCACAACATGTTGCTGCCATCCCCATACTTCACAGTTGGGATGGTGTTGCTAGGCTTGTAAGCTTTCCCCTTTGTCCTCCAAATGTAACTCTGGTCATTATGGCCAAACAGTTCAATCTTATTTCCATCAGACCACTGGCCGTGTCCCCAATATTATTCTTTTCCCCAGTGTAACTTAGCAAACTGTAATCTGGCTTTGTTGTTGATTCTGGCTTTTTGATTTTCCCATGTTGTCACACAAGTAAGCAGTGTGTTTGAGCTTTTCCTTAAATACTATTCTACAGTTGTGCCTTTAATCAACTCAAATGTTGTCAATTAACCAATCAGAATCTTCCAAAACCTTGACACCATCACCTGAGACAAAATAATCTCATTGTGTGTAAACTTTGAAGAAAAGTTTCAAGTTTGCAGGAATTTTGGCCCAGAATTGGTGTAACTGAGTAAGATTTGTTGGCTGTCTTGTTCGCACAAGCTTTTTCAACTCTGCCCACAAATGTTCTATAGGATTGAGATCAGGGCTTTGTGATGGCCACTCCAAAACATTCACTCTATTGTCCTTAAAGCACATTTTAACGAATTTGGCAGTATGCTTAGGGTCATGGTCTGTTTGGAAAAGCCATTTGAGGCCAAGCTTAAATTTTCTGGCTGATGTCTTGAGATGTTGCTTCAGTATTTCTACATTATGTTCTTTCTTCATGATGCCATCTATGCTGCGAAGTGGACCAGTCCCTCCTGCAGCAAAACAGCCCCACATCATGATGCTGCCGCCCCCATACTTCACAGTTGGGATGGCGTTTCTAGACTTGTAAGCTTTCCCATTTGTCCCCCAAATGTAACACTGGTCATTATGGCCAAACAGTTCAATATTAGTTCTGTCAGAGCACAGGACATGTCTACAAACATTAGTCTTTTTCCCAGTGTAATTTAGCAAATTGTAATCTGGCTTTTCTGTTGATTCTGGCTTGTTGATTTTTCCATGTTGTCACACAAGGAAGCAGTGTGTTTGAGCTTTTCCTTAAATATTATTCTACAGTTGTGCCTCCAATTAACTCAAATGTTGTCAATTAGCCAATCAGAAACTTCCAAAACCTTCATCATCTGAGCTTTTTCAGAGGCAGAATAATCTTATAAAGTAATCACTTTTTAAAGTCAATGAGTTGATTTTAAAGCAACATTTACTCACTTTAAAAGTACAGTCAATTTATTGCTTTAAATCAACAGGTTTACTCTCATTGTCAACCAATTGCTTTTAACAAAGTAAAAGGGTCACAGAAACCTCAACATTGGCAAAAATGAATGTTATCGCACTTAATCATTCATATTATACCTTTTGTTGCATTCGCTGTAAAAAATGCTAGATTTCACACAAATCCTTTTAGTGGTCCCAACACAAATTGATTAGGTTAAAATCCACATGAGTCAGCGCAATAGCCTAGTGGTTAGGGTGCTGACATATGGTGCAGTAGCAGCACCTCAGGGTATCCTGAGTTTGAATCTTGGCTTGAGGACATTTCCCAACCCTACCCCCTCTCTCTCTCTCTCCAACTTTGTTTCCTGTCTAAAATACTGTCCTGTCCTCTCAATAAAGGCCAAAAATATATATTTTTTTCTTATTGACGCAGTGTCTGGAGAAATGGAATATTAAATGAGAACACAGTGGGTGTGGCTTGTTTTTTTTCCTACTTTAAGCTGATTGGATGTTGTAAAGTAGGCATTTCATTTTGAAAGATCTGGAAAGGGTTTATGGAGAGTTATTACAACCCAACAGACTCTTTCTTCTCACCGATTTTGTTTGTTGTCATAGCAATGTCAAAACTGACTGCTGGAGGCCGTGGTTAAGTGTGTTAGCCCCGCTCAATACAATAGACTGACCTAATCTAAAAATTTAACAAAAACAAACAGGAAGTGCACTTAAGAACTGTGTTGTTTCAACTCATTTTAGGTAAGTAGTTTGAACAAGCAACAAAGGTCTTTTTTTGAGTGTATTTACCCATGGCTTCTCTCTTCCAGCTCATTGTGTCATATTAGCGGCCGGTGCGGACTACTTTCGTGCTCTGTTCTGCGGAGGGTTACGTGAGTCTAGAGCAGAAGTGGTGTTTCTGCGTGGCGTTTCATCCTGGATTCTGCGGGATCTACTGGAGTTCATCTACTCCGGCCGGCTGAAACTGAGCAGCACAAACGTGTGGGATCTGACAGAAGCTGCGGCACAGTTTCAGCTGCAGGGGGCGCTGGAGCTCTGCTTAAACTTTCTGCGGGACAACATGGACGAAAACTCCTGCCTGGACATTCTGGCTCTGGCTGAAGCCTACAGTCTGGAGGATCTGGCCAAACGGGCAGAGGATTATGTTTTAGCCCACTTTCAGAGGGTCTCGGAGGGGGAAAAGTTTAATGATCTGCCCTGCATTCAGCTGAAGCGCTTCCTGGACAGAGACGCACTCAATGCAGACAGTGAGGTGAGAGTAAAACAATGCAGTCGAAGTCAGAATTATAACCCCTAACTGGCCACTTTATTAGGTACACGTCCAGCTGCTCGTTAACAAAAATTTCTAATCAGCCAATCACTTTGCAGCAACTCAATGCATTTAGGCATGTAAACATGTTCAAGATGATCAGCTGCAGTTCAAACCGAGCATCAGATTGGGGAACAAAGGTGATTTAGGTAACGTTGAACGTGGCATGGTTGTTGGTGCCAGACTGGTCTGAGTATTTCAGAAAATGCTGATCTACTGGGATTTTCAAGCACAACCATCTCCAGGGTTTAAAGAGAATGGTCTGAACAAGAGAAAATATCCTGTGAGGGGCAGTTCTGTGGGCGTAAATGCCTTGTGATGCCAGAGGTCAGAGGAGAATGGCCAGACTGGTTCCAGCTGATAGGCAACAGTAACTCAAATGAGCACTCGATACAACCGAGGTCTGCAGAAGAGCATCTCTGAACACACAACACGTCCAACCTTGAGGCGGATGGGCTACAGCAGCAGAAGACCACACCGGGTGCCATATAGAGCACTTTTGGGATGTGGTGGAACGGAAGATTGGCATCATGGATGTGCAGCCGACAAATCTGCAGCAACTGTGTGATGCTATCATGTCAATATAGGCCAAAATCTTTGGTGAATATTAACTGTACCTTATTGAATCTATGCCAAAAAGGATTAAAGCAGTTCTGAAAGCAAAAGAGGGTCCAACCCGGTACTAGTCAGGTGTACCTAATAAAGTGGCAAGTGGGTACACAATTACAATTGCTCATTTCAGGAAATAAACATCTACTAATTTACTGAGCATGTCAAAGTTGCTCATGTAGTGACTGAATGTTTGCAGACAGGGGCGCAACTGCACATTTACTCAGATGTATGCGAGTTCAAGTTTTGCGCCCCCCTCCCCATATTAATTTCACTAATATAATTGTGATATAATAATAGTAATATTAAAATGTTCAAATGATTTATTTACAATACAGTTGGTTAAGTAGTATTTTCTGCCTGTAATTCTTAGCAGAAATAGCGAAAAATGTTTGCAGATTCTGTCTGGCCCTAATATTTAGGGTTGTAGCCTACTTTTAAACATACATTTTGTGTAATCCCTCTTATTTTTGCAAAATAATTAATTAGTAATAATAAAGAAAATTTTTCAGATTACTCATACCTTTTGAGCTTAACTGTAAGTATGATTTTAAAGTTTATTTTGATAAAACTTTTACATGAACTTTACACACGGATGTGTGACTGCATGTTATTGTTTTCAATTATTATGAATTAAAATGTGTGTGCCAACGTATGCAATTCATACCTATAAACCCTCTCGTTTTTGCCAAATTAAATCTACCATATTTTACCATTCTATCCGCTCTTCCGTGTGTGTATTTTCCCGTATTTCTTCTGCCTTTGTAATGTTTCTATGAAAAGTGAAAGTAGCAGCTACACAGAGCCGATCTCAAATTTGATGCAAGAACTGTTTAAGAGAATTAAGCTTTCACATTATTTTGGATTGACAGCATGTTAAAATTAATGTAAAAACGGCAGCGTTCACGTCCTTTCAAGTAAAGCTTTGTGCGTCTATTGCCGCCCTTATGCAGCCTCTGAATCCATATAACGGTACTGAGTGACGGACGCACCCCATAGTGATAAAGACGGCTTCTATACACGCGATTTGAAGATGAATGAAAGCGCATACTTTAAGATTCAGGTGTGTAAATAGACAAATACACAATAATATGTAAACATGTTTTATTTGAAACACAAGTAATATTATCTTATATTAGCATAAACAAAACAAATGTTTTCATTGCATTCTTAAAGTCAGACTCACACCTCTGTTATCAAACAAAACAGAGGATCAAACTAAATTCATTTTTGCTCTTTTGTAAATAACTATAGTAACTGTAATCAATATTTAAATGCAGTAAATAAAAAATGTTCTCTTTTGAAGTTGACGGTCCATAAATCTACTACTATAAAAAGCGTTTACCATAAAGTTAACTTTACACCAGCTCATCATGGCTTTAGCCTATAGAATTATAGTGTTTTTCGCATACTATACAGGATGCAAATATGCAATTTCGGACGCAGTTAGGTGTGGCCGTGCGTCACTGTCCCCCTGCCTGGACAAAACCACCTCGCCTGCATTTATGTTAAGTAAAAGCCCATGCATGCAGTGACTGAGTGGCGATAATGAATAATTAATGATATGGCTGCCCGTCGCTCCCAAAAACATTAGAAGTTGATTAAACGTATGGTAATAATAGTGTGGGTTAAGCTTACCAATCCCTTACTATCCAATTTGTCATAGCAGTTTTTATTTTAAGGCATTGTTTGTTCTCTTTTTGTTTTCTATTTCGCGCTCCACGTCTCTTTACTCTTCTCTCCATTTTGAACATGTGACTGTAACCGAGCAACGGATCAATCAAATGGTCAATGAAGAGGGAGGGGTGGTATAATTTTTTTTTATTCAATAAAATACAATTGTATATTTATATAAAATGCAGGATAAATATTTTTTATCAAAATATGTATTTATATGTATAAAAAATATATAATTATAAGAAAAAATGTAAAAATAATTTTGGCACAATGGCGCCCCCCCATGTGTGGCGCCCCTATGCGCCGCATATACTGCATACCCCCTTTTTGCGCCGCTGTTTGCAGATAGACGTGTTCAGAGCTGTGGTGAACTGGGTCCAGGAGGACAAACAGCACAGACTGTCTGATCTCTCAGGGTTGATGCAGAGCGTTCGCTTTCCTCTCATGAGGCCTGAGGAGCTGCAGGAGGTACAGCACTTCTGCATGGACAAACACACACTGTTCATATCTTCACATATATGAAAAATCTCCTGTTCAGGTGCAGGAGTGTAAGCTGATGCTCAGATGTGCCGAAGGAAAAACAGCTCTGGATGTTGTGAGGAATCTTCTGTGTGATGATCGGAGATCCATGGACTGCAAGCCGCGCACACCGAATCAGGTAAATCACTGATAGATGGGCTTCATTAAAGGGGATCTATAAAGCAAAAATCACTTTTATAAGGGGTTTAAACATAGTTGTGTGGCAGCAGTGTGTCAATATAACCAGCTTTTAAAGCTAAAAAAATTTAATTCTATTTTTTTTTCATCAGACTTGATTATAACAGTCTGCAGAAACACTTTGATTGACATTCTCCCTTTGTGTGATGTCATCAGAGGGGGAAACCCCGCCCAATAGTGACCATCTGTTCCTTATTAGCATAGGGCGTTAGTCTTGATTTGAATCTGCCACTGCTTACTCACAGGCATTTGCAGCTCCGCCCTCTTTTGGAAAGAGCACAATCTCATTTGAATTTAAAGTGACAGCCACCAAAATAACACATTTCGGATAAAAGCCTGAAAGGGGCAGTTTCAGAGATGCAAGCAAAAACGATAAGTGGCAGACTGGAAGTCATTCCTTTCCAATGGAGAGTAGTCCGGGAGCTGCGTGGACTTCCGATCATCTCCGTATGCAGAAAATTTGGATCTGAATTGAGCTGCTGATCCGTTGAAATATTTAAACTCCTGCGACTAGACCAGGGGTGGTCAAACTTGATCCTGGAGGCCCAGTGTCCTGCATAGTTTAGCTCCAACACTAATCAAGCACACCTGAACATGCTAATTAGTGTCTTCATGATGACTAGAAATCTAAAAGCAAGTGTATTTGATTAGGGTTGGAGCTAAACTGCAGGACACCGGTCCTTCAGGACCGAGTTTGCCCACCCCTGGACTAGATTGCATACGACTGGCGAAGAGATGTGATGTATTCCAGTGTTGTCCAAGCAAATCCGTGCGCGCAAGATGAGAGATAGCAGTTTTTCCATTATTTTTTGAGTTAGAAAAAAGTCTGAATTTTAAAAAAAAAACATATTTCTATGCATAAATGAGTAATAAAACTATTATTTTTTATGTTGTCTCCACATTCCCTCCAATTGTCTTTCTAGTATTCATTTATTCAACCATGGTGAACACACGGAGAATAAAGGCTCTTGCTTTTGCACTCCTTTATTTCTGACACCAAGAGATCAGCTTCTCTCCCATGGTGCATGACAAAACTGAAAATTCTTTGCGACTGCCACAAGGGGGCGGCATCTGACAGTCATGTCCAAATTGTTGAGTGCAGTGAAAAGACGTCTTTAGAAAATGTAATTTGTGAGGTACTTGGGGCTGAAACTTCACACACACACACAAACAAACACACACACACACACACACACACACACACTCTAGAGACATTAGAAAATTATCTTACATCTTGTTAAAATGAACATAATAGGTCACATTTAAAAAGGTAATGAACTGAGAAACCAAAATACCTTGATCTTTTGACTAGGAAGAGTTCACAATGCTCTGCTAAAACAAACCTGTAACATTTACAGTGGAAAATCGACAGCTGGGATTGCCAGAACTTTACAGTTGTAAATAATTTAAATGTAAATAACGTGATGAACATGATTTATCAACAATATATTTAACAAAACCCTAATGTACGTCAATGATAAGAAAAAAACTAAAAAGAACCATAGTAATGTCAAAAAAAGGCATACAAGTGTATTCAAGAGTTCACACTCAGCTGATGATTGATTATAAAGCTTGTTTGGCATGCTGTCCTGAGAGAAAGCCCTGAGCTCATAAGATCCTCAAGCCCTGGGCTCCCTCCGGTTTGCATGGCAAGAGGGGAGTTAGAGCTCAGGTAGATCTGGAGAACTCCCCTTCTCTAGTAGCTAATGAACAGATAGTGATTGCTCTTAAGAGATGACTACTTACTAGGAGCATGTCTACGATGCCGATTTAGATTAATTAACTTAAGTTGCATGATTTTGGACGTTGGGGGGAAACCAGGGAACCCAGAGGAAACTAACACAGGGAGAACTTGTAAACTCCGCACAGAAACTATAACTGGCTTGGTAAGGACTAGAACCAGTGACTTTCTTGCTATAACTGGCTTGGTAAGGACTAGAACCAGTGACTTTCTTGCTATAACTGGCTTGGTAAGGACTAGAACCAGTGACTTTCTTGCTGTGAGGCAACAGTGCTAACCACTGGGCCACCGTATCACCCATCTAGGAAAGGAGGAGAAGTAGGGGTGGAAGGAGGGATTCTTCAAAACAAAGATGGCTGTTATATGGAACTTAGTGTTATGACGGTCAGTGACCACCGGAGGGCACTGTAGTTCACAGACTCTGAAAACTTACTACAGCGCCCAAAAGACTACAAGTTCATACAGTCCACGCGCACACACCGGAACACCTACACTGACCTGTCATCACATCTGTTTTGTGTTACCGTTGATTATCTGGACTATTTATACAACCATTTCACCACAGTTTGTCATCGCGTCGTTTGTCTTTCTTGTAACCAGTAAGTCTGTTTTTCCTAGTTGTTGTTCCTGATCTCGCCTTGTATATTACTATAGTCTAGTTCATGTTTATCTGTCTTAGTTTCTTGTTTTGTTGTTTATTTGTTACTTTGCACTTTGGATTTTGTTCACTGTTACCGCACTATTTAATATTAAATCTGCACTTGAATCCGCTATCTTTTGTTCACGTTTTTGTTATTGTTTTGATCACACCTAACGTGACAACTTAGGGTATTTATAGCGCCTTAGGAATCGTCTGATTGGTGAATCATAAATTGAATAATGTGGGGCCAGCTGCAAACAATTAAAAGCATGTGATCCTCTCGAAATTACTTTATAAACAAACTTCACCTGTCATGCAGAAAGTTTTGTGGAAAGTCAATTTCCAGTTGTTAGTAATTATTACTTACTATGCAAACTTTCTTTATATTTCAGAACCCCCTACAAGAGGTTGCCAAGGATTTTCTATCGGTTGCTACTCATTTTTCCTTCTGTTTATTCTGTCTTAGGTTCTGGTGATTGTTGGTGGAGATTGTGTGAATGAGGATTTCGAACGCAGAGAGCCGAACCTCTGCCTGTGGTTTGCCTGTCGGTTTGTGCGTGGAGAAGGCCTCAAGTGCTCTATCGAGTGGAAACCTTTGGCACATCTTCCTGAACCGCCACGTTTTCGCCACTGCGTATGCGTCCTCAACAACACACTCTACATCCTTGGGGGACGCAAATACTACGGTGCCCTGGACATCCTGAAGAGCGCTCTGAGGTGAGAGTGAAGACTATCGAGACGCAAAATCCACTCATATTAGTATGAATGGTAAAATTGCAATGCTCAATATAGCTGCCCTAGCAAAGTAATGCCTCGTTTCCACTGAGTGGTACAGTATAGCTCAGTATGGGTCACCTTTATCAGCATTGCGTCTCCACTGTATTCCCAAGAAACTGCTACTACAGGCAACAGGCAAATTACCTATTTCTGACATGGAGAGGAAGTGACGAAAAATAGCAGTGCAAGTCTCTTTGAGGACCTGAAATTATAATTAGTACATCATTCCGAGTTCAGATAATGGTCCAAAAGGCAATGATAATAATTCAATATGGAAGTTTGTTCATGTTTTAGGTTGCTGAAAGAATCTTTTGCTTCTTAGTTTTTTCAGGATTCTCATTTGTTTTTCCGCGCATCACTCTGGCATTTTTTTTCATTTCCGAAAGGATGTCAGAAGCGCTTCAATAATCTCACTCCGCCTTTTGATACACTTTTGTTGTGCTAGAAACTCTTCGAAAAGTGTACCCAAAAAGTGGTATGGTACGGTTCGCTTTTTGGTAACTTACCTTTGGTACCTAAGGGCAGGGCCGGAGTGGGACTCCTTTTCGGACCTGGAGTTTTAAGCCTCAGACCAGCCCACCTCAGTTCACGACTGACTATATTAAAATAAGGTCATTTCCAATTCAGTTTTTAATTACACTATCACGTCTTTTTTGAGAAAACAGCAGCTATAGAACTTCAAATCTTCAACAACCCTTACAGTATTATATGTCTTAACAATAAAAATGAAAATAATTAATTACTCAAATGAGGATCAAAGCCGGGTCGGAGGCGTCGTAACCTAACGTGCTAACCACTGGACCACAACAGCTGTACCTCAATTGGTGTCTCATCAGAGTTATATCATCATTAACCTGCAGGCTGCATCTTTCTCATGAGGCTGCAATAAAATAGATAAAAAGAGCAGAGCTGCGGTAAAATATTGAATAAGAAGAATGTGGTCAAGTAAATAAATTAATTAATTTAAAATGTGTGACTGCTGAGAGCTACAGATTCTGGAGCTAGGGACACCGGCCCTCGCGGCCAGAAAACGGACCGGCCCACCGGGAATTCTCCTGGTCCTCCCAATTAGCCAATCCGGGCCTGCCTAAGGGGCATAAAAGTGTACCAAACCGTACCGTACCATGCCACTCACTAGAAATGGGTCATTAGTCCACAAGATGTGTTTTTTATGACAATCCATGTCATTCGGCAATAAAGAGATGTTCTTAACAAAGCAACAATCTTAATAGGAAAGGTTACTTTATTTGGTTGTCCAAACTAACATGTTTTGATTTAAAGATGTAAGTTTTACTCTCCAGTTTGACCTTTTATCCACACTCAGGCAGTGGTTTTAGGCAATGAAACAGTGGATAGACTCTTCACAGTGGAAACATTTTGATAAATGCTCATTTTTGTTATCACATTGAAAATGAAGGTGTTCAAAACCATTGGTGCATTTTTGGTGACGTCATGATTTTGTCAAGTATGATGCAATCCTGGAATAACACCTATGTTGATCCCGGAATATCATTTGTGTTCGAAAATGTAATCCATACTTATTCCCTTCCCCTAAACCCAACCATAACTGAAATTATTCCCGAAATCAGAGGGGAATAATGGATAACAATCAAGTAGAAGTGCATAAACCTAACCATAAGCCTAAACTTTACATAATGGTAAGCATATCCCTTAATTCTGATTGGCTGATTGAAATGTTGTTCTTGGATCAACATGGATGTTAATCCAGGAACATGTCTTACTTGGTGAAATCAGGTTAGGGCATTTTCCGTCATAAGACCAATTCTGCTAAAAGGGCGGAGTGCAATGTACAGCAGTTGTTTTGGATGCTCTCTGTTTGGACAGTGTAGTTAAAAATTAATGTCAGTTTGTTCATGCACTAGATTGGTTTTCTTCGACGGACACAGCATGTCTACTCAGAGCTCAATGATAGTTCAGTATCCACAGGACTTCACTAAACAGTACCCAATAGATTAGAAACAAATTTGATGTAACCAGAAAAAGGTGGTTTGCCATCTCCAGGTTAGAGGAAAGTCTTTACCCCTGTTGTAAAAAAAAATAAATGAGTTAAAAGAGGAGAGAAGAACCCAGTCCAGGAGACTCGAAACAAGCAGAATTCCTTTATTGAGACGTGTTGGTTAATCTGCAGTCATACAGCGTCTTTAAGATGTCCAATGTGTCTGCAAGAGCCTACTAGAGGTCCGCAGTCTGCAAGTTCTTTCACGAGTCTCTCACAAGTCTCACACAAGTCATAATTAGTCTGAATTAAGACAAAGATTTCATGGCTATATTGTGTTCTTAGGAGGAGGGGATATGGCTAAACAAAGCATGCAAATTAAGGGTTGTGGTCGGCAGGGTAAACTGCTTCTCAGGTCTAATCTCATCATGTTCTGGAGACAGAAACCGCCTGACCATTTGATCGAAAAGAGAAAACAATAGACACCCCATGCTGTGAAACTGACAATTTGCATTACTTTGGCTTAGCCTGTAATCAGAAAGATAAAGGTTAAATGTCCCTCCTAGCTGGGATGTTAATGAAATTATATAATTAAAAACCAGAGAATATAACTTTTCAGTTATACGTAAATTATTGTTCATTTGGAATTAGTTGATAGAAATTTATATTTCCACACCCCAAAATACTTGAAGGTGGAGGAGTTCAAGTATTTTGGGGTTTTGTTCACGAGTAAGTGAAGGATGGAACGTGAGATTGACAGGTGGAGCCGAAAGGCAAAGCTCTTGAGACTGATCAGTCTACATTCCTACTCTCACCTATAGTCATGAGCTTTGGTTCATGACTGAAAGTAGATCTCAGATTCAAGCGGCCAAAATGAGTTTCCTTCACAGGGTGGCAGGGCGAGGGATGAGGAGGGTCCACAGGGTGAGAAGCTCTGTCACCCGGGAGGAGCTCGGAGTATAGCTGCTGCTCCTCCACATCGAGAGAAGTCCGCTGAGGTGGCTTGGTCATCTGTTTCAGATGCCTACTGGATACCAATCTAGGGAGGTGTACCAGGCATGTCCTACCGGGAGGAGGCCTCAGGGAAGACCCAGGACACGATGGAGTATGCCTCTTGACTGGCCTGGGAATGCCACGGGATCCCCCCCCACCCCGGGGGAGCTGGAGGAAGTGCCTGGGGAGAGGGAAGTCTGGAGTTCTCTCCTGAGACCGTTGCCCCCGCGACCCGGCCCCGGAAAAATGGATGAAAACAAATGATTAAATGAATGATGTAACAAAGTCTTATTCAAGGAAACAATTGTGTGAACATGGCAGATTAAAATGCACCAGAAACAAAATATTTGCAAAGGATTCAAAGCTTGATGAAGCAGTGTATTAGAAGTGTGTTCACCCAGCAGTTTAAGATGCTGTTTCTGTCTGCAGATTTGATCCAGCCCAGGGCCGATGGGAACGTCTTCCCGACATGTCCAGACCCAGGGATTATTTTGCGGCTGTGTGTCACAGAGGGAAGGTGTTTGTCCTGGGGGGAAACTGTGATGACGTGAACTGTCTGGACACAGTGGAGTGTTACACACCTGAGGAGAACACATGGAGGTCCGCAAACATGTCTACTCATATTTATGATCACAGAATGAACAGTTATGAATAAGTTACTGGCATTCTATTGGAAATAAAAGAAGCAGATTGGGTGTCATGTATCAAAGCAATTTGGTTAATCAGTTTTTTTTTAATTAACAAAATACAAATGCTCGTGCCTGTACCTGCATGTCTCATTTCTTCCTTGATTGTGTGGTCAAATGTGTTTAAAATAGTCGTTGTTGTGTTCATATTGCATGATGGATCTGTGACAGGAGGATACACAATGTAGGTCTACAAAACAATCTGTGACAATTCTGTCTAGCTTAAAAAAGCATGATAAAAAGAGTGATAAAATCACTCAAGATCACGTGCGAAAATGCAATATTTATTTAAAATGCTCAGTGCGCTGAATGACTATTTAGAGTGATAGGGCAAAAAGTAAAGAAAATTATGGAGCAGGAAATGTTTGCTGCTGAGAATGATCAAGTAATTCTTTATTTCTGTTTAATGTTGTTGTAAAGCTTGTTTATTCTGATATTGTGGTCTAAAACTCCTCCCCAAACTCGCCACTGACTTGTATCCTGTTCTCTCATTGGCTGTTGTTCATATCTGATGTATTTTTGTCAGTCCAAACTCATTCCTCATTTCATTCATTTTGAATCATCAACAATTTGCTTGGATCACATTTGTGATAATTCAAACTGTGTGATTGTGCCTCATGTGAATCAGCACAGATTTCAGACATTTCACTTAACTTGCCTGCAAGCAAAAATCAGGGCCAAAATTGAGCATTGTGAACTCAGCATGCACTCTAAGGGCCTTCTCACACTATGCCATCCGTACCGTGCCTAGGCCTGTTTCCCAGATCGTTTGAGAAGTGTGAGTGCGCTGAATCGGGCTCAAGCACGGTTCACTTGGCTGGTCCTGGCCCGGTTGGAAGAGGTGTGCCTGAGCGCAGATCACTTGGGCTTTGGCTCGGTACGCTTGTGTGTGAGTGCAAAACGCGCCAAAGCCCGAAACTGAAAGTGAGACGTGACTTTTAAGGGGCTGTTTCTTATGGATTTATTAATCATTCTTACTGTTCAGTGAACGCAAACTGCCGTAGTTTATTAAAGACGCAAACCCCTCACTGCACGACAGCTGCGCGCCTTCAGCAGACCTCCTCATTCTTGCAGCACGAGAGCTTTATCATTGTTTTTGAGCGCCAAAAGTGGCGGATCTGTTCGGCGAAATATCTGACTGCGTGTCCCCGCATCTCTAAGGACTGTTTGGCGAAATATTTGACGGCATATCAAACGACTGAAACGATATAACTAGAGAAATCTCCACTGTGCTGCTGAGTGAGAGAGTGCTTCTCACTGATCAGCGCAGCAGCGATGACGTAAGCATGCCAAAGCCCGTTTGTGGTGTGAGCGCGGGCCGTCGGGGGAGACAGGAGGGGGGACAAGCGTGCTTTGGCCCGGTTCGAGGCAACTGTACCTAGAGTGAGTACGGCCTAATTTAACCCAACTATGACGACCTCCGCTATTGAGAAACCCGTAAATGTGGAAAGGGTTAGTTAGTGTTTTTGTGATTTTTCCTGCCTGATCTCACGGGGAAACTTAACTATTTTACGTTTTGTCAGTTGAGTCGTATGAAGTTTAGTCGTACAAAAATCTACGATTTTAAAAAGGAGGCGGGGACCCAACCACACCCCCCAAACCCAACCATCATTGGGGGATAAGCAAATCATACTAAATAGTTTGAACGAGATCATACAAATTCATACGAATTATCCACTAAATCAAAAAGTCGAATTGTGACATAGGGTTGGATTTTTAAGTAAATGGATGAATTTAGGCCAGCCCTAAAAAAGTGACTTTAATTGTAGAAAATATGGTCAATGATATCGACACTGCATGCTGACTTCTCTCAAAAAGCCAGGGTCATCAAATCTGACATATTTTCATCTGTTGACACACAGGTTAACTCATCCTCTAGATGTGCCTCTCTGTGGTCACGCCGCTGCTGTGTTCAACGGAGAGATCTTTGTGTCGGGTGGTTGCGACTCTCGTCTACGCTGCTATCCCTGTCTGTGGCTCTATGACCCGGTGCATGGCTGCTCCAAACGCGCACGCATGACAGAAGGGGTGGGCCGGGCTGGTCATGTGATGCTGGTTTCAGGACACCGATTGGTTGTGGCTGGGGGGTTGCAGCCAGAGTGGGCGGGGTTTAGAGACCAGCTGCAGTGTGAGTCGTATGATCCTGTTCATGACTCCTGGACGTCGTTCCCTCTGCTACCCCGACCGCATCTCTCGCCCGCAGCAGCCACTCTTGATGGACACCTGTATGTTTTGGGAGGATCTTCAGCTGATTCAGCACGTGATACACCCTGGGTTCATCGATACAATCCACAGGCAAAGTGCTGGGATAAACTTGGAGCAATGCCACGACCTTACGCTGATCTGGCCGCATGTGCTTTACAGCTGCCCGTCAGCCTGAAGACCTGAATCCTTCAATCACTCACTTGGTTTCAGCTTATTTCCTGCTCCACCAGAGATTCCCTCAGTGGAATGAACTGTCGATTACTCTGGCATATATTTAACACAGCAGATGCCCTTTCTGCCACAACCCAGCTCTGAAACTGAACAGAACACATGGCAGAACATGCAAACTCCACAGAGATATGCCAAGTGGCCCAGCCAAAACGTCTTGTTGTGTGGCAACCATGCTTATTACTTAGCCACCATGCTGAAAAGCTGAAACACTACCATGTAATTGTATCTCTCACTCTCCTTCAGCTTAGTCCCTGCTTTATCAGGGGTTACCACAGTGGAACAATGATAATAAAAGAAACCTTCCTTCCTCTAGCACTAAAAGTCTCTGTGCACAGGCAAGTTCCTTTGTATAATTAGCACTTGATGTATGTATTGTGTCATGACTTTGTATGAACACTAGATGCCACTGTTGTTCGCCTGCAACTCCCTGCGAACTACAGTGGCAAAAGAACTACATATCCACACATTCCTTCATGCATACACCCAGTCTTTTCTTATACACTGATTGCAATCACAGCTGTCTCTGTTTCCCTGTTGATTACCTGGACTACATATTCAACCATTCCACCTCTGTTTGTCGTTCGTCTTTGTCTGTATGTTTGTTCCTGATTCCAGTCTGTATTCTGTTATCCTTGTTAAAGTCTAGTTCAAGTTTAATCTGTTTGAGTTCCTAGTTTGTTTGTTTATTTTGTTACTTTGATTTTGGGATTTTTGTCACTGTCACTGCACAATACAACAATTAAACTGCACTTGGATTCCACAACCTGTTTTTGTTCCTGTTTGATCACCCTAACGTGACCGTATTGTCTCTTCTTAAATCGCTGAATGCCTCGTGAATTATAAGTTGTTTTGGACAAAACTGTTTGCTAAGTATAGTTTATTTATAAATTAATTTCGAGAGGATCACGTGCTTATGATTGATCACAGCGGGTCCTGCATTAGTCAATTCATGATTCACCAATCAGACGATTCCAAAGTCTTATAAATGACCTGAGTTCCATATGACAGCCATCTTCGTTTTGAAGAACCCCTCCTTCCTCCCCTACTACAGTTGCAAGAACGTCACTGGTTCTAGTCCTTACCAAGTAATTTAATGTATACATGTTCTCCCTGTGCTCATGTAGGTTTTCCCCCACCATCCTAAAACATGCAACTTAAGTTAATTGACTAATCCAAATCGGCACTCGAGTTCGAGGCATCGGAGTTCTCGAGATCTACCTGAGCTCAAACTCCCCTCTCGGCCTGTAAATGGGAAGGAGCTCCAAGCTCGAGGATCTTATGAGCTCAGGGCTCTCTCCCGGGACAGCATGCCAAACAAGCTTTATAAACAATCATCAGCTAAATGTGAACTCTTGAAAGTGCTAAATGTAAATGCGAACCGCCAATTTTCCTGGCATATGTTTTACATGTGAATACGCTTCCTGCTACTGTGCCACCCCTCATGTAATTTCTAAAAATATTTATTTTTGTACCACTAATGTTTTGTTTTCTAGCTAGCTGACTAGTGGACAACAAAAGGGATTTTCACCCCCCAAAGCAATTCTGTAATCATTTAATTTCTCACTTCCCTGCTGAAAAATCCAGCTTAAACCAGCCTAGGCTGGTTTAAGAGGGGTTTTGGCCACTTCCAGGCTGGTTTCCAGCCATTTCCAGCCTGGTCTTAGCTGGTCAGACTGGAAAATGACCAGCCAAATTCAGCTAAAACCAGCTTGACCAGCCTGGTTTAAGATGGATATAGCTGGTTTTGGCTGGACTCCCAGCTTGGCTAGGCTGGTCAAGCTGGTTTTAGCTGGTCATCTCCCAGCCTGACCAGCTAATACCAGGCTGGAAAAACCCCTCTAAAACCAGCCTGGTCGACCAGCTAAAACCAGCCAACCAGCTTAGGCTGGTTTAAGCTGGATTTTTCAGCAGGGTTGTTTTGAACCTGTTTGAGTTTCTTTGTACTGCTGAACATAACCCTGCTGAAAGTCTGGTTGGCTGGTTTAAGGTGGTTAAACAGCCTGATTTTAGAGGGGTTTTGGCCATTTCCAGGCTGGCTTCCAGCCTGGTCTTAGCTGGTCAGGCTGGAAAATGACCTGCCAAATCCAGCTAAAACCTGCTTGACCAGCATGGTTTAAGCTGGACATAGCTGGTTTTGGCAGGACTCCCAGCCTGGCTTAACTGGTCAAGCTGGTCATCTCCAAGCCTGACCAGTTGAGACCCAGTTGGAAATGGCTGGAAACTAGCCTGGAAATGGCCAAAACCCCTCTAAAAAGCTGTTTTTTTCAGTAGGGAAGTGAAGCTGTTTTGAAAAATGTTGGTTTAGCAAGTGGGACAGGGCTGAGATATTTGGGAGAGGTGCGAGGCCTGTGGCACGAGTGTTATTTAGCATGACCTGAGTGCTACATTGGTCTTGATTCCCACAGAGCAGCTTTTCTCAGTCCTGGCCCTCGTGCCATGATGTTGGATATTTTGCATGTTTCTCTTATTCAACACAGCTGATTTACATAACCAGCTCGTTAGAAGAGCTCCATGCATGAACTGTGTTCTGACTGACACAGTCCCAATGCAGTGTGCATTGTTCCCTAGTTCCTTATCCTTCATTCCTCTCTACCTTCTCATAAGAAACCCTTATTTCACTTCAGAATACCCATTCATGGATTTACAGATTTGAAATTGTAGCTATAAATGTAAATATCAGCAGAGAAACAGCCATTTCAAAACACAATTGTGTAGTTATGACACAATATGGATGTTGGGCTGATGGGGTCATATAATTCATGTAAAATAATGTGTTGTGGGAAAAAACATGCTGTCAGTCACTGGCTCATTGAAGGTGAAAGAACATGGAAAGTAAATTAAAACAGATGCAAATGTTGAGTTGGATTTTACCTGTGAAGTCGTTACGGAAATATGAATTATCGAACATACAGACTCCACTCTCTTCCACATTTAAATGAACACACTTGCATAATAGTACACAATTACACAGAGAGGACATATGCAAAAACATGTGAATGAAGAAGAAAATGAACAAGGCCTTTGTTTAGAGTAATAAACAAATAATATGATGTGATGAATAAAGGATTAGAGCGGATATAGAATAATCACATTGTCTGAAGCTGCAGACAGAAACATCAGACTGAGGACAGAAACACACCAGCGCTGAGGTAAGAATAACTCACGTCTACAGTATTTACACACAAACACACTTAAGACATATAATGTTAATCTTGTTACGAAGCTAAAATGTTTTGTCAATGTCAGTTTCTTCCGCAGAAATGGCTCAGACTCTGTATTTCCCTCTTCTCCTCATTGGTGAGTGTGTTTGTAGTTTTATTTATGGTTTATAGTTTTATTTGGTTTGACTCTGTTCTGAAAAGCATTAAAGCAAAGTGTCTCTTTCACAGCTCTCTGCTCCATATCTGAATGTGTTCAGCGTCAGTATCACTTTATAAATGAGGGGAAGACCTGGACTGAAGCTCAGAGATACTGCAGAGAGAAATACACAGATCTGGCCACTGTTGACAACATGAACGACATGATCCAGCTGAACAAGAGTGTGAATGTGAATCATCGACATGTCTGGATTGGTCTTCAGAAGATGAGTGTTTTTAAATGGCATTGGTCTTCAGGTGATTCTACACTGTTTCTGAATTGGGCATCTGGACAACCAAACAGCAGTGATAATTGCTCTTGAATAAAAAGTGGACTGTGGAATGTTCAGCCATGTAGTGCCAGACTATCTTTCATCTGCTACAATAGTGAGTACAAACCTCTACAGTAACACACATTCATTAACTAAAGATAATTCAAATGAAAATTAAATGTAACAAGAGTAAACATTATACATTAGTGTAAAAAATACAAACAAATACTTTAAAATGTTTTACATACATCTGAAATAAGGATGAAGTGTGGTATTTCAGCTCTTAATGTAATGACCTCAAATCCCATTGTAATATTCATAAATATATATTAAAAACACTGTAAAAAGTCTTTGCTTCTGTTCACAAACAAACTGCACATCAATGCAAGAATAATGTTAACTTGATTTATTATTGTTTTCTATTTAATTTTGCTAAAGTGAGCAGAGGACTGGTGTTTGTCAATCAGTCGATGAACTGGAGAGCTGCTCAGAGTTACTGCAGACAGAATCACACTGATCTGGTCACAGTGAGGAACCAGAATGAGAGTCAACAGCTGGAGAAGTTCATTAATGACAGAAACTCATCTGGATCTGCAATCTGGATTGGTCTGTTCAGAGACACATGGCAGTGGTCAGATCAGAGCAACTCCTCATCAGATACTGGGCTGCCACTCAACCTGATAATCAAGGAGGAACTGAAAACTGTACAGTGATCACTCAGAAAGTTCAAAGACAATGGCATGACATCTCTTGTGATCGACAGCTTCCTTTTGTGTGTCATGAAGGTGAGCAGATCCTCCAAACACACTCAATCCATCATCAGCTCCAGATCTCTTAAACTTGACTCTACATGTCTGACATGACAAATTCCTCCACAGTGTTTGTTCTGCATGTTGTTGTTGATCAGTCTCTCTCTAGTTTCTGCTTTGTTTTGTGTCCAGATAAACTGATTGTGATCCAGCAGAATCTGTCCAGCAGAACCCAAAACTAAAAAATGACCACATAATTTATCCACTGTCAAGCCATCCTCAACCTATATGGCTTTTTCTGTCTGGCAAACAGAGTTTAAACTAACCAATATATCTCCTGGGCCCGGTATTTTAAAAGTAATCCACTAGGATTTTGGATAAGGGATTGGATCAAATCTTGAAAATGGGTTTTTCAAAAGAAAAAACGGATTACATAATCGGATTAGATCACGTAATCCAATCTTGGTTTTGATCCGGATCAAACCTTTACTTTGGGTTTTTCAGACCTTTTTTGTAGGATCTGGATCACTTTGATCCAAAAAACCTGGATTAAACTGATCCCATCAGAAGGGTGGATTTAGTGTGGATTTCATGCCCAAAATGTAATAAAAACTTAAAAAATGTATAAAATAATACTATTTTTGGATCATCCAGTATCTTACGGGATATACTATTTAATTATAAGGTTTTAATTTTATTTGTTCATCTGTCAGGCTATAGTGAGTATAGGCTTTAATGTATTCAGCCTTTCAGTATGCATACAGCAAGGTAAAACAGTTGTCAAAATTGACCAAAAACAATTAATTTTATTTTGTCAATAATTGATATATATATATATATATATATATATATATATATATATATATATATATATATATATATATATAACAATGGAAAATATTTTTTGTTTTTAGAATATTTATTAGTGATGCATGCAATGATTACAGAATAACCAAAAAAAATTGCAAAGAATGGCAATCGCTGATTTTTGATATCACTATCAACAATTGCAAAAAGAGACTGAAAGGGCAGAAGCACAGCTTCATCTGGCAGAGAAACAACTGACTCTGACTAAACTGCAGCAAACCAAGGCCAATGACTTGAGATTCGCCTCCCAAAGGCTACGCTCAGACAAGCTGCTCTCTCCACATCAGATGAGGAAGTCTGAAATTATTGTGGAGTTTTGACATTAAGTATTTTTTTTTGGTTTACATCTATATTTGAAACTTATTATAAATATCCTCAATGTACAGTGTTGTAGGTCTCAGATGAGCGGACTGCTGGAAGAGGATGGCGTGGGGTTTTTCTTGTTTTTATTATTTATTATTATTATTATTTTAATAATTATTAAATTTTCTTAGTTTTCATTTCAAATAAAAATAAAGTTATATTGACCCCACACTGGCTATTCTACTTGTCACTCTTTACATATCTATAGTTCTACGTTGTGATGTCCTATGCTGTTTGAGCACTGGTTATCCAGATTTAGTGATCCTGAAAAGTTCCTATCCGGATCAGATTGATTCAATCCGATGTTGCTTTGAAAAACTGGCTCAAAAAGTAAGCTGGATTACGTGATCATTGATCGCAAAAACAGGTAATCCGTTTTTTCTTTTGAAAAACCCATTTTCAATATTTGATCCAATCCCTTATCCAAAATCCTAGTGGATTACTTTTGAAAAACCGGGCCCAGGGCCCGGTTTTTCAAAAGGTTTAATCCGGATAAAATTGATCCGGATTTAGTAATCCTAATCGGATTAGATCACGTAATCCAATCTTGGTTTTGATCCAGATCAAACCATTAGTTTAGGTTTTTCAGACTTTTTTTGAGGGATTTGGATTACTTTGATCCAAAAAACCTGGATTAAACTGATCCCATCAGAAGGGTGGATTTAGTGTGGATTTCATGCCTAAAATGTAATGAAAACTTTAAAATGTATTAAATAATACTATTTTTGTATCATGCAGTATCTTACGAGATATACTATTTATTCATAAGGTTTTAATTTTGTTCATCTGTCAGGCTACAGTGATTATAGACTTTAATGTATTTACCCTTTCAGTATAGGTCTACAGCAAAGTAGAAAGAGTTTGGCCTCATAAAATAATCCCCCAAACAGCTGTCAAATCTGACCAAAAACAGTAAAACAAATTCTGTCGCTAATTGGTATATATATATTCATCACAATGGAAAATACTTTTCTTTTTACAATATTTATTAGTGATGCATGCAATGATTACAGAATAACAATAAAAAAAAAAAAGCAAAGATCGGCAATTCTAGATTTTAGAAATCTCTTTCAACAATTGCAAAAAGAGGCAAAAAAAAAAAAAAAAAAAAAAGCAGAGGAACAACTGACTCTGACCAAACTGCAGCAAACCAAGGCCAGATTTGGGATCCGCCTCCTAAAGGCTACGCTCAGACAAGCTGCTCTCTCCACATCAGATGAGGAAGTCTGAAATTATTGTGGAGTTTTGACATTAAGCCTTTTTTTTTTACATCTATATTTAAAACTTATTATAAATATCCTTAATGTACATTGTGTTGTAGGTGTCAGATGAGCGGACTGCTGGAAGAGGATGTGGTGGGGGTTTTCTTGTTTTTATTATGTATTATTATTTTATTTTTTTTTTATTTTCTTAGTTTTCATTTTAAATAAAAATAAAGTTATATTGACCCCACACTGGCTATTCTACATGTTGCTCTTTACATAGGCCTATATCTCTATCTACATTGCGATTGGATAACCAGTGCACAGATTTAGTGATCCTGAAAAGGTCCTATCCGGATCAGATTGATCCAATCCGATGTTGCTTTGAAAAACTGGCTCAAAAAGTAAGCTGGATTACGTGATCACGGATCGCAAAAACAGGATTACTAAATCCGGATCAATTTTATCTGGAATAAACCTTTTGAAAAACCGGGCCCTGGGGGTTACCACATGTCTAATGAAGCAGATCCATGTGTTTTTCAATAAAATATATTTCAATTAATCAATTAATAACTCCAATCAATGTAAATTTTCAATGACTGACATACACAACAAATGACATTAGGCAAATTCATAGAGGAATTACTGGAAATAGATCTTGCTGGATCCACTGACCACATAGTTTATTCATCACATAAGTCAATGACAAACAAGAAAACTAGTTGGCCTGGCATTTCTGTGTAATCTCATACATAACATTACTCTTACAACCTGTCCTATATCTTATACATTAGCCACGCATAATGTACATTTGGCCTCCACCATAAGTTGTGAATGTGAATTATTTGTGTTAAATATTTGTTAAAAACACATGGATCTGCTTCAGAAGACACGTGCTAACCCCCTGGCAGCATTTCGAAGCTACAAAATAAAAGTCACTATCCAATACCATTATACAGCTCAGAAGAGCCAGGATAGAGTGTGAAAACGTGTTCAACTGAGAGATGGTTTGAGGGTGTGTACATTATAAGCTAATTTTTTTTTTTTTTTTTGGGGTAATCTACAAGTTCGTTACATGAAACAGTTCAATGTACAGAGAGGTCATGCTTTGATCCTCGAATGGCTCAAGCAGTCAAGTGATGCAATATCGCAGGTCATAGTTCACCAAGCTTGAACTTTCCAATGCAGCAAACTGCGAAACTTGACGCACGACCTTGCGTTTCCAGTCTGACGCATTCACGTGCGTATGAATGGAAGTCTATGGGGAGGAAAGTGCACTGTAACCACAGCTCAACCATTAGCTGTTCAATAAAGCAATAAGTCAACTAATCGTTGGTTTAATTCATTCATTCATTCATTCATTTTATTGTCGGCTTAGTTCCTTTATTAATCCAGGGTTGTCACAGCAGAATGAACCGCCAACTTATCCAGCTACTTTTTACGAAGCTGATGCCCTTCCAGCCACAACCCATGTCTGGGAAACATCCACACACACATTCAGACACACACTCATACACTACGGACAATTTAGCCTATCCAATTCACCTGTACTGCATGTCTTTGGACTGTGGGGGAAACCGGAGCACCCGGAGGAAACCCACGCGAAGGCAGGGAGAACATGCAAACTCCACACAGAAACGCCAACTGAGCCGAGGTTCGAATCAGCGACCTTCTTGCTGTGGGGCGACAGCACTACCTACTGCGCCACTGCCTCGCCGACAGTGTAGTTATAAATGTAAATATTTACAGCAGAGAAAACGAGTTTCAGAACCCAATAGAGTAGACAGAGATATTGTGCTGATGAGGACATTTAAAACTGAATATGTGTTGTGGTGAAAATCATCAGTCACTGGACCATTGAAGGTGAAATAACACAGAGTAAATTAAAAAAAACAAAAAAAAAAAAACAGATGCAAATGTTAAGTTGTGTTTCCCTGTGAAGCCATTATGAAAATAGGGATTATGAAACATACAGACTCAACCCTCTACCACGTTTAAATAAACAAACTTCCAAAGATGTACAGATACAAGGACCAACACAGAAAGAAAATATGCAAAACCCATGGATAAGGAAGAAAAATGAATAAGGTTTTTGTTTAGAATATAAAACAAATGATGTGTTGTGCTGAATGACGGATGAAAGCAGATATAGAATAATCACACAGTCTGAAGCTGCAAACAGAAACACCAGACTGAGGACAGAAACACACCAGCTCTGAAGTAAGATCTACTCACATATATTCATCTTACACACAAATACACTTCAGACATAATGATGTTAATGAATAACATAAAGATTATGAACCATGTTATGATGCTAAAAATATGCAATGTGCTTCTTCCTCAGAAATGGGCCAATTTCTAGATTCCCTCCTCCTCCTCGTTGGTGAGTGTTTTTTTAATTTTTTTTTTTTATGGTTTATAGTTTCATTAAGTTCTGTGCTGGAAATCATTAAAGTGTCTCTTTCACAGCTCTCTGCTCCATATCTGAATGTGTTCAGCGTCAGTATCACTTTATAAATGAGATGAAGACCTGGACTGAAGCTCAGAGATACTGCAGAGAGAAATACACAGATCTGGCCACCGTTGACAACATGAACGACATGATCCAGCTGATGAAGAGTGTGAAAGTGAATGATAGAGGTGTCTGGATTGGTCTGCAGAGGAAATGGCAGTGGTCTTCAGGAGATCCTGCTCTCTTTCTTCACTGGGGAAATGAACAACCAGACGGCGCAGATGAGTGTGCTTTTATGAGAAATGGTCAATGGGAAGATGGGAAATGTAATGACTCCTGGATATTTGTCTGCTACAACAGTAAGTACAGCTAAAGTAGAAAACTTTACAAATAAAAAAATGTATTATTATTGTTGTTGAAGTCAAAGCATAACAAGTCTTCAGTAACACATGCATTTCTGGTGCTGCTTTTTTAATTAAGCATCATTACAAATAACAATAATTAACAAACTGAAGTAAATATATATATTATTGTTATTATTTTTATTTTATTTCTTTTTTCTTAAAGTGAGCAGAGGACTGGTGTTTGTCAATCAGGCGATGACCTGGAGAGCTGCTCAGAGTTACTGCAGACAGAATCACACTGATCTGGTCAGTGTGAGGAACCAGAATGAGAGTCAACAGCTGGAGAAGTTCATTAATGACAGTCATAAATTTGCATCTGAAGTCTGGATCGGTCTGTTCAGAGACTCATGGCAGTGGTCAGATCGGAGCAACTATTCATTCAGTTACTGGAATAATCAGGAACCAAATGATTACGGAGGGAAGGAAAATTGTACAGTAGTTCAACCGAAGACTGAGGGACGATGGAATGACATCGTTTGTAATAACCTGTTTCCTTTTGTGTGTCATGAAGGTGAGCAGATCCTCCAAACACACTCAATCCATCATCAGCTCCAGATCTCTTAAAGTTGACTCTACATGTCTGACATGACAGATTCCTCCACAGTGTTTGTTCTGCATGTTGTTGTTGATCAGTCTCTCTCTAGTTTCTGCTTTGTTTTGTGTCCAGATAAACTGATTGTGATCCAGCAGAATCTGTCGTGGTCTGAAGCTCTGAGATACTGCAGACAGAATCATGTGGATCTGGTCTCGGTTCAGTCAGTGGAGATGCAGTATAAGGTGATGAACGTGGTTAAACTGGCGTCTACTGAGGCGGTGTGGTTGGGTTTACGTCACTCCTGTGCTTTGGGCATCTGGTTCTGGGTGAGTGGACAGACCGTGTGCTATCAGAACTGGGCTCCAGGGAACGGCACATCAGAGGAGGACTGTGAGCCCACAGTGAGATCTGGAGCAGTTCAGTCTGGAGGAAGTCAGACCTGGATCAGCCGTCCTGAAACTCACAAACTCAACTTTATCTGCAGAAACTATTAGGTGTGAAAGACCTGGAGATGTTTCTGTTAAAATGTAGGAATGTTTCAAGGTCTTGTATTGTTTTAAATCCTTAAATCTAGATAACCAAATCAATATTTTTAATATTAAATGTAACATTTTTATTCCTTTTAAGTTACCTATATTGTATATTATGTTTTGACCTCATAAATTTAACTCAATTTCAGTCTTAGCTTCAAAAAACATATTTAACCAAAACTTAAAAATGATCAAATAATTTACCCAACATCAAGCCATCCTCAACACATATTTACATTTACATTTAGTCATTTAGCAGACACTTTTATCCAAAGCGACTTACAAATGAGGACAAGGAAGCAATTTACACAACTATAAGAGCAACAATGAATAAGTGCTGTAGGCGAGTTTCAGGTGTGTTAAGTCTAAGGCCCCGTTTACACTAATGCGTTTTAGTTTTAGTTTGTTTTAGTTTGCTACGGTTACGCCATCCGTCCACACTACGCCGGAGTTCTCGAGCGCCGAAAACGGAGCTTTTTGAAAACGCTGGAGAGGCCGTTTTCATTCTGAAACGCTGCTGCTCCGTCTCAGTGTGGATGATGGAAAACGGAGACATCTGAAAACAGAGGCGGGGCTGCAGACATTCGCCTCTCTGATTGGGGCTTTTCCTCAATATTAAGTAGCCTAACACGTTCAGTCCTGAATCTTCTCCGAGTAAGTTCAGACTTCGCAAGTTTGATCAAGGCTGCATCTCTTCTTCTCAGTTTGATATGGAAAACATACCGAGGACACGCGTCAATCTTCACAGGGAACAGTGTACTTTATAACTTTATTCACATCACCCTGGCTACGTTGTTTCACTTTCTCAACAATAAAATGTAAACTTGATATAAGGAACTGCCTATTTTTATTTTAATATTAACAACTAAACAGACAGCAGAAGTGTTGAGGCGTCGTGCTGCATGAGCGTCATCTTCACTGTGTGCATATTTATAACAAAACGGAGCCGATAACAACTGCCTCCTTTAAATTTCAGTCAAAATACAAAACATACCCTATCTTTTGCTGAATATCAGTTTTAATAATCGATAATGGCCATTATAAAAGTATAACATACAATAAGTTTATACATTTTAGGAAATAAAGGCAAGCGATCAGTCAATATACAGAATGTAGGCTACGTGGTTACATTAATCATTAACTTATCTTTGCGCTCAGCCAAAACACGTTACCTGAGAACAAGTAATAGATTCCAATGCCCAAAGTCAGGGAATATGTCCTTAGATAAAGACAACAAGATGAATGAAATATCCCGTTTAATAAATATAGCGAGATTAGATCCAGCGGGAGATGCTTGATGAGAAGTCCGACTAGCAGAGCTCTCATCTGGGTAGACAGGCTCCAGCGATTTCCAAAGTGTGTTTGTGTGGTCACGTGATGTGCGTTTTCAGCGTTTTGGTGTGGACGGAGAGCAGTTCAGAAACGCTGGGTAAAACGCGAGTGTGGACGCGGATCGTTTTCATTCTAAAACGCCGTTTTAAAACTAAAACGCACTAGTGTAAACGGGGCCTAAGAAGGAAAGCATTAGTAAATTTTTTTTTTTTTTTTGTAGTTAGTGGAGGATACAGAGAGGGAATTGCATAATAGTAAGGAAAGTGGAGACTAAATAGTTGAGTTTTTAGTCGTTTCTTGAAGACAGCGAGTGACTCTGCCGTTCTGATGCAGTTAGGGAGTTCATTCCACCAACTGGGCAGATTGACCGCGAGCATTCGGGAAAGGGATTTCTTCGCTCTTTGAGATGGAACCACGAGGCGACGTTTATTCACAGAACGCAAGTTTCTGGAGGACACATAAATCTGCAGAAGTGAGAGCAGATAAGAAGGGTCGCAGCCAGAAATCGATTTGTAAGCAAACGTCAGTGCTTTATATGGCCTTTTTCTGTCAGGCAAATACAGTCTGAGTTTTACATTTTATTCTGGCTTTTCCATGCTGTATAAAAATTTCTAATACTAACCGATATGTCTCCAGAGGGTTAACACGTTATATGAAGCAGATTTGTGTGTTTTTGTATCAATTTTTACAATGTACATTGGTGATGTTTCCAGTTGAGCGAACGCTGGCGTGTCTGACAGCCGCTGCTCCCTGGGACTGGTTTTTATTATTACCTTGACTTACTTTCATTTTTGTTTTATCCTTGCCAGGCTTTTTTACCTTTTAACACAATGTTTTTCTAACATTTTGACTGAATAACTCCTTTCACTTAAGCTGTCTTACCATCCAAACGCAAGCTCTTGCCACCACTGTAGTGCATTGATCCGTATGACAGTGTGTATATGGGATCTGTAGTGTTCTGTGTAGCTCCTCCCCCTCTACCTCGCTCTCACTCAGTCACAGTCATTCAGTATGTACATGCGTCGATACTAAGTGAAGCTGCTGTATGTCTCTTGTGTCCGCTGTTAATAAAACACTGTTTAGTTTGAACCCTGCTTCTCTAGCAGTTTAATACAAGTTCTCTGAGTCAACAATTACAAAGTGGCTTGTTTCCTCCATCTTCCATAAGAAAGTAAACACTTTTTTTGGAGTGTTGGTTGCTGCCTCTTATTGCTGGTTTTGGTGTAGGTGGTCTTAATAAGGGCTACTTTCCCATCTACTTGCGCAGTTGTCGTTTGGTGTGCTTGCTTACGTGTTTTTTAGGATGTCTGCATTGATGCTTGTGGTGGGCTTATTGCTTGTGGATTACTAATATGCTTTTTAACTCCTCACTGGATCTGCATTACCTTAACCGTAAACCCCTGTCGAACCTGCCTGTCAGTCTCTACAATCACGGTGTTGTTCTTGGAATCACACGCTGCCCTCGTTACAGACATCGGTGTTCCCATCGCAAAAGTTGTTCTAGTTCAACATGTACAACTTCATCTGATGGGTCATCAGATATACCTGTTCTCTGAGCTCCCTTTCGCCGGTCACGTCCTCAGGCACGTCATGATGATGGACATGGACATTTCAGAAATCTTCGTCATTTTAAAATTAGTCTCATTAAGACATTTACCAGACATAGCAACAACGGTTCAACATCCTGGAAACATGGCTCTAGTAAATGCTCGCTCATTGTCAAATAAATTCTTCTGATTTTTGAGGTTGAAAGATGGGGAAATGTCATCTCTTGGTGAGTTTTCTCCTTCTGACTGTTCTTTTTTCAGCACTCCTAGGCCTAGTGGACTTGGTGGTGGTGTAGCCACAGTTTTTAAAAGCACTTTCAGGTGTAGGCTTCAGCATGTTGACGGCCTTTCAAGTTTTGAAACTCAAATACTAAAGACTGGTCTAAATGTGTGCTGGTCTATAGACCTCCCAAAGTTAGTACAGCCTTCATTAATGAATTTTCTGAGTTCCTGTCTGACCTGGTGTCTCGTTGTGACAGGATGTTGGTTTTAGGTGATTTTAACATTCATGGCTTTTGCCAATTTAAGCTTATGGTTAAAACTTAGAGCCTGTTAGAGTCATTAAATTTAGTGCAGACTGTTTCCAGCCCCACTCATAAACAAGGCCATGCTCTACATCAGTGGTTCTCAAACTGTGGTATGTGTACCACTATAGTGGTACGCAGGCTTCCTTTTAGTGGTACTCGGCGCAATCAAATATGTCATATGACATATTTAGATCTTTATATTTGTATATATTTATAATTATTACAGATCTTTTTCTGTAAATATTGGATCCTTTACTTCACCACCTAAACTCATTCATTGTGGTGTTCCACAAGGATCTATTCTTGGCCCTCTATTATTTTCTCTTTATATGCTTCCTTTAAGCTCAACACCCGGCAAACATATAAACTACCACTGACATGCTTATGATCTCTAACTTTATTTTTCTATCAAACTAGAAAAGGATTTATCATTAGAACACTTTGTCTTATGCCTAACCAACATTAAGACCTGGATGACCAATAACGCCTGTTTCACACCGCAAGCGTCAGCAGCGCGTGAGCAGAGCGTGAGCAGCGCGTATGTCGAGCAGTAGCAGCACGCAGGCGTTTGCCTTTCACACCAGCTGCGTCTGCAGCGCGCAGCTCTTCGGCAGCTGCTGCAGAGATCAACCTATCTCTGTCTATTCTATCTAGTTACCCATGTCTCTCTATATACAAATACACTTTTTAAACTTTTCATCTGCACCAAGGCCCCTCCTATGCTGTTTCTTTAACCTGCAAATGTTTATTTTACAAATTATATAGATCAAATAGTACTGTATGCTTCTCAAGCTAACTTATATGAGAAGTGTCTACAGTCAGAGGACAATCGCCAGTGCTATCATGTCATTTGTTATTTGATTGTCAGGTTGCTGTAGACATAGTTATAATCATATTTATACAATATAGTTATAATGATATTTATACATCATCAAACTAGTGTTAATTTCTCCGCTTCAGTGATGTCCAGCGGCAGAATAACAGCTCGTTAATTCATGCTCGTGCAGAGGATGAGACGGACAAAAGTAACCAATGCATGTCATTCTTTTACTTATTTTCGTGTTGTCAGATTCACAGTGCAAACAGCTCCCGGTAGGAATAACTCGAGTGAACATAAAACAAAGCCGATTAAAACTTTCTTCCTCTGCTCAGCTGCACAGAACACAGCGAGCTCACATCATCCAGCATGCGTGTCGCACTACACTACCCACAATGCACTTCGCTATGGACTACAAATCCCGTAAATATTCTATTGCCCCTCTCCTACAACACTAGTGTGCAACTTAAGCAAAACTGATAGTAAAATAGTTTTACATTTGGTTTTGTAGTTCGGGCCTAAATAAATGTTTGTTGCCGTTTTTAATCGTTTTAAGTTCATTTGAATGACTATATATAAACCATTTGACATTATTAACACATTTATTGTGTAAAATTGGTACTTTTTACTGTCATTCAATGTGTTTTGGTCATTCTCAATGCACTGTCACTTTAATTGAGTGTGAGCAGCGCGTCAAAAATAGACCCAGCGCCGAAACTATCGCTGCACTGCTGCTTTGGCGACGCTCACGCCTCGCTCTGACGCGCTGCTGCTGCGTGCGGTATGAAAGCTCTAATCTGTTAACATGGACGCCGAAAACACACGCGCTGCTCACGCTCTGCTCACGCGCCGCTGACGCTTGCGGTGTGAAACAGGCGTAACTCTCTGCAACT